TTTTTGTTTAATTTTTTTTCAAACAATTTTTGTTCTAAGTTTGTACTTTTGTATAATATTATGTATTAATGTTGCAGGAGTTAACACTATTTTGTATAGGAGTTAACACTATATTTATAGGAGTTAATATTATCTTTTAAAGGAGTTAACTTTCTTTTGTAGGAGATTACATTACATTTGTAGGAGTTTACCATTCCCCATCATAATTATTATTATAATATAATATGCGTGTTAATAATGCAGGTGCTATATTATAATTGCGACATTGCGTATTTCGAAACCATATTGGTACTTTTGTATAGTATACATACATATAAACACTTGCCAAATGTCGATGGTTTTTTAACGGATACCGCACACAATAATAATATTAATATTAATAATAATAATAATAGTGTAGGTATCGTGTTTCGTCCAGAGTTCGTGTTTTTGGGTTGTCTTGACGACACGCAGCTTAGAACGTTTCGACAAAACGCTCGCAAAGACATTAGGCTACCTACAGTTAGCAAGTACAAGCCACAGTCGGTCATGTGCCATCGGTAAGTAAACGCCTTGCAGTGTTCACGCAACATATTATACTTACGATCAGCTGATGTTGGTCATTCGTTGTAGGTACGTAATATTTCAATGAGAATTTTATTTATATTTTTAATCGACACCTAGATTGGTTATATTTTATCATTTAAGAGGAGGATTGCACCGAAACCAGAAGTGAATTGGCACTTTTTTGTCAAAGTAACATTATTTGAAGTAGGCACCACAAATTTAAACTACATACTTAATACCTTACTTGTGGTACACAAAAATAATTATTTCTTGAAAAAATTTTTCATTTCATATCTAGACTATATAATAGAAGAAAAACTATTTATCATGGTGCGAAAAACAATATTTAGAAAACTATTTAGACTCCCTAAATAGATTGATAGAAAACATTTTTTTTATACTATATATATAAATATATATTTATTATTTTTGGAAAAATTCATAAAAAAAATATGAGGCTTACCTTGGTCTTGATGTCACAATTTTAACCATCTCTATTCTTTATGACCACAACCAATATTCAAATCCTATTATAATATAATATGTTGTATCTAACTCCTAGAATATTACACCCATATATGTCATTTTATAATATACGTGTGTTGGTAACGCATGGACGCCCATAAACTAAATGTGCAATAAATTGGTAATGGTGCAAGAAATAGTTAGGGTAAACCCATTTCGTGGGAGACTTTGCTAATTGCTTCCCCCCACAACCATAATTTCACATACGTAATAAAATACATGCAAGTATAACATAAAACACATAAGTTAATTGGAAAAATCAATTTAACTTTATATTGATGTAATTATAGAATATTAATTATAACTTTATTAGAATAAAATAGAAAATTTATAAATATTTAATCAGATAATATGTAAAACTGTAAAAAATGAATGTAGGTATCATTATTAGTAGACTTAATAAATTTAATAAAAAAGAATACAATATTGAATGTAACGTGTTAATGTGTAGTTATTTCATTATTTGMCTTCAATGTATTGTTAATTGTATATTTTTTTTTTAAGTAGGTATTCATGGGTAGTTAAGTAGTAAGATTTTATGTACTTACTTTGAAATTATCATAATATTAATCTAAGTATAAATAAAGAATAGTGTAATACTTATGTATGCAGTTTTATGGAATAGGTGACCAATGTCCACAAACCTCGGTAAATGATGGTCATGTGAAAAATTATATTATTTAGCAGAATTTGGTGTCAACACATTGTTGTCGTAGTACCTACCTGATGGTGAAAGTATGACACGGCTTATAATAATTTACTTGACACACTCGTTAAATAACACTTATAAATTAAGCCAAATAATTTTCAAACTCTTGTAGCTGATAATTTTTACGATAATTATGATTAAAAAAAAAAAATTACAAAATTTAGAATGTCCTAATATCTTTATAATGACTTAAAATATTTCAAGCAGGTGGTAGTCAAGTGTCACACCATTTAAACTTCAATCCTAAGCTTTATACATTGAACAATTTATAAATTTTAATTAGAAAATAATTATCGAATTTTCGAGATTTTTATAAATATTATCAATATCGTGCCTCTGCTTCTTTAATATTTTTTTTAACTGTTATTATATCAATGTTTAGATAAACTTTTTAATTAAAATTAAAAAAGTCGAAAATTTTTAATAAATACAGACAATACAGTAAAACTTTTCTATACCTAACGGAATCGCTTGGGACCAAACATTTTACCATTATAAAAAGTTTTCAGTCGTAGAGAGGTAGAAATTTATATATTATTTGCACCGGGACTGTTGAAATTGTCTATTATAAGGTGGATTCCGTTTAATAAAGGGTCCGTTATAGAGAGGTTTTACTGTAGCTCAAAAYGAATMAAAATATTTTAAAAGTGTTATCATGATATATAGAAAATTATAAAATAAACTTTTTGCGTAAACTGTTAGTATTTATGGACTAAGACTATTCATTAATTCAAATAATAAGAAAATTGTAAATTTACGGCGAATATCTAATCACGAAAAAATACTATAACCACTCATAAGAAATAAATTCTTTTCAGTAAACCTTTTATTTTTGTTTTAGGTAGTAAAACCAATGAGAAATCTTAGTTAAAATCCAAATATTATAAATAAAAAGAACATTTTTTATTAATTTCTAACTAAACAATGAATGATGATTGTTATTCAAATTCTTACTTGAAGCAGTTTAAGCACCTACAAAAAATATTTTAAATATGTATTTTTTACATTTTTAGTATGTTGGAAAACTTATATAGTGTAGCTCGTATTACATTTTTAAGTTTTTTGATCTATACCTAAAAATGTTCAGTTGTCAATCTTTCCTATAAATCTTAAATATTTTCTAGTTGTTATGATTTCAAATGTTTATAAATTGCTAAGAATCAAAATATTTAAAAAATTTTATCATACATTAAACTTTGAAATAAATATTTAGTGAAAATTCTAAACACATACGATTATTCGTTTTTGTACCTATAATAGCAAAATATTAAAAATCGATTGAGAAGAAATAGGTTTCAACTAATTCCTGTCAGAAAATTTAAATTTCAAACGTTTATAGAAAATTAATTTAA